CTACAATTCTCGTTTCTGCCACAGTATTCTTGGAAGTAATTTAAGGTTGACAAATTGGAATAGAAAGCAAGGTAAGCCCCTTTTTGTTTCCCTCAGCTCATGTCGCTTTTTTCTCCGATCCACTTATCTTCAAGGGTGCCGTTGCGAAAGTCTGAAAAAAGTAGTCGATTGGTGTGGCTGTTCACCTTTAGTGTTCAAAAAAGAGCATACTCACAAGTTTGCCATCAAGGTATGTTTACTTCAACTGTGCTCTCTCAACAAGGGTTACCATAAGGATTTTCTTTAGAATGCCGAAGCGAAACCTTTCTATATTGCGAGGAAGTTCGAGAGTCTCATTGACATCGATGCTATTGCCCTGGCTGAAGAACAGGCACTGAGAGACCGGTGAGTTGTTTGTTTTGTAACGGCCTTTCTGCATTGCTACAGTATGCTACCGTAACCTCCTGCCAGACAGGTGAAGCTCTGGTTGCTAACATGCACAAGCAAAACTTCCTATTGTGGGAGTACTCTTCTTTTTTTTGGGAGATTCTCGTAGAATAGAACAAAGTTTGCCTGCCATTTTTCCCTGGGTTTCCGCAGGATTTAGAAGCGGTTTAAATGATTGAGGTTGTACTTGTTTCTGAATATCGGATGATTTTTTCTCGAAATGTTTAAGAAGGAATTGACCCTATGAAAAAATTTCTTGAGGGATTCATAACTTTTTTCGAAATTGATTTGATGATCCAGCTTTTTGACTAATGATCATTCTTCAGGCCTCATCTTCTGCACACGAATGACGTCATGTTTAATGTTACATTTGTGAACTATTACAAAGCTGACATTGATGGTTACTGTAAGTTATTCTTCTTCATTTCTCTTTTCCACACTTTCCTGATGGGGCATTTTTCCTCCACATCATTATCGGAAGTTTTTCTGCTCAAGTTACACGTCAAGATTTTCAAGAAGCAGACCATTCTTTTTTCAGCATTGCCTTTTTCTATGATGGCTGAATCGCTTCTGTCTTTGCACAACAAGGAAGCTGAATTTTTGGCCTTGGATAGGATTGATGCCGTCAAAGTACACGCATCAGCACCTCATCAAGTCATCTTTACTATGCAGGTGAGCAAGAGGGTAATCAACAACGATTTACCTCACTTGGGTTTATGGAAGGCTCAGGAAGTTTCATCTAGATTCGCGATCTCGATGTTCCCATACAACTCCTAGTGCAACGGCGACTAGTCTCAAGCATCGTGTCTCCTGCCATAGTCGACGGATTCAAACTGGAGGTGAAAATTTTTTAATTTCAAATTTGAGAAAGTTAAGTCCCTGATTCAGAGCATAACGGCTGGCACCGACATCGACCACAAAGAGGAAATCTTCCGAGGTTTTGTTGCATACGCCGACTTGGTGAGTTCTGCTCTTTCCCATCATTTGAAATCATTTTTATTTCATTTAGACATCTTCGCCCACCGTACGGTTACGCTGGAGTCGGGTCCCTGGCATGTCTACAACGGTGAACGAAACTAAGACAAGCCCAAATATCCGATTCCTTTGGCGTGCTCCAAAACAACGCCACATAGCCACGCAAAAACTTCGCCCGTATGATTCCATCTATGGTACACAGTTTGCTGCACTGCAACTAAACACATTGAACGCGACGAATTTGGAGCCGGGAATGTGGAGCGTTGTTGTGCAGCCGGGTGAGAAAATTGGTAATTTTAGGAAATACTCTTACGTAAAAGGAACTTAACTGGTCAAAACTGAATTCTACAGACTTGCTAGTGCATGCGCTACACCTTCAGCTTGATCCGCTTGATCCACTTCATCCACTTTAGTATTGGTCAAATCAATGAGGACCAATAGCGAGACGAATCTCCACTCGATTCATTCCGCTATTGGTCGGTTCACTGTTTCAACCAGTAACGAAGTGGACAGATGGATTGAATGTGGTTTGCCCGATGGCGAAGGGTAGTAGACATCTCAACAGTTTTTTCTTTTTGCAATGACTGGGGTCTCTTGTCAGCCACGCCCCTCAAATGGGCGGACCGCGCGCGACAAATGGGTCTTATATCATATGTCTAATAAGCAATTTTTGCGAAATTTTTTCTGGTATTATGAAGCACAATTTTCATCAGCTTATCCTGAACCAAACATGAAAATCAAAAGTTTGTGGACCTCTGCCTTCAAGTCGTGAACGTATTGTGAATATAACAAGATATTTGAGAGCGAGCAGAACGCTTGGCGTGTCTACGCTGTAAATGTCTAAATGTCTACGCTCATTTTAGGGTAGGGGGAGGGGGGAGGAGTGAGATAAGCGGTTTTTCTAAATGGATAGCCACTTGGTTGACTAGTTGTGTAAGACACTTGAAGTTGCCTTGTAAGGCATGCGCCGCCATACTTGATCCACTTCATCCACTTTGCTTTTGGTCAGATTGGTGAATTGACCTATAGCGAAGTGGCTGAAGTGGAAAGCGGATCAAGTGGACATTCGCTTTGCTTTGGTTAGTTCACAGATTTGACCAATAGCGAAGTGGATGAAGTGGATAAAACTGATCGGGCTGGCATCCTCTTCGCTATTGGTCGTTTCACTGATTTAACCAGTAGCGAAGTAGATGAAATGGATCAAGTAAATCAAGTGGATTAAGTATGGCGCGTGCCTGAGGACTTTTTGAGAGTCATTTCTTGCTTCATGATTATCACTTCAGATACTGACGACTCCCCGGAAGCGATTGCCACCGTATGGTTGCCGATTTACTCGACCGCGGATCCATCGCTGTTCCAGTCATTGGTCGGCAACTTCTTTGTGTTACTCGATAGTTGCAGTACAGACTGCTCGACTACACCTTGGAGTACCTTCCACCCCGATCCGAAATCGGACATACATATAGGTTACGATAAGAAAGCAGATGCTTTGATTTAGATTCTATTTTATTTTTATTTCCGTTTTGTTTCCAAAGTTTTGTTAGATTTCTATCCTTTCTGTGATGTTGTGTTTTCTCATTGACAAGTTTTGTTGTTATTTTATCTTGAATAGGAAATATGAGCATATTCGCTCTTATCTAGAACTTGACATTTCATAGAACGAGCGCTACCGCTTCGTTTTATCCGCCCCTTCTTTTGCAGAAGAAAAAGAGGGACCATTTGTTACTTCATTTTTCAGTGTTATTCTTGCCATTTCTTTAGAAACGCATAATGCCCACTCTTGACATATTCTGGAGCAATATCGGTGATCTGAATCATTCACTCGTTCATATTTTTCTCACACGTGATTCCTTTCACTTTGCCAATGCCTTATTGTGATGCCGGTGATAAATTCAACGCTACTTAGCGATTTTTATGATAAATCTGATTTTACGTGGATGTTTTCAACAGAGCGAAAA